AGAGCAAGACAATACACTTTTCTCCGCGGTCACAATTCCACAGCTGGGGTTATCTTTGTACAATGAGCTGTCCGCAGGCAAACAGGGTATCTCGCCCTCAGCACTAGGGACATTTGGTGGCAGATAATTCTTTCTGGGGCATTTGGAAGGGGCTTAGTGGCAGCCCTGGCCTCTACTCACTAGAGCCCGTGGCACTGCCCCGCCCCAAGTTGTAACAAAAATGTCGCAAGACATTGCCAAATGTCCCCTGGTTAGGGCTGGTGAATGCACCCCCAGGTGTGAGCTGCTAGTTTCGTCTGAGGTTTCAGCTCCACAGAACGGGAGCCAGCTAATTAATTAGCCAATGGTAACTATTAGCCAGATTTCTCACCTAAATCCCCATTATCAGGACCGCATCAGAAGCTCCAAAGTTCCTTTGACCCTGGCAAGACACGTGGGACCTGTCTGGCACACAGGCTCCAGATGTGAGCCCCCTTCCCCTCCCCCAACCGCCTTCCCAACTCCTGCCAGTCTTCTCCCTTCACCCTGGCCTGATAGGGAATTCCTATCCATTGTGACATTCTAATGACGTGAAGGCACTAAGGTGCTCGAAGGAAGAAGCTGGTGGTCTGATACTAAGGAAAACTGGCGTTATGTTTATAGGAATCCAGACAGAATATGCAAAATGTTCTGAACGTGAGCACTGCGGTATCTGTCCCGGTAATGCTTTCTCAAGTGCAGGCTCTCGGCTCCTGAGCTTGAATCTCACCTCCAGAGAGAGCCCTCCCCGAACTAGCTTCTCTGCAGTGCCCAGCTGCCCCTGCTGACGAACCCCTCTGTCCTATTTCTGGTCACTTATTACTACCTGAAATTATTCAGAAATTCATGGACTCCTGCAACCAGAATGGGTGCTCCGTGGGCAAGGGACCCTGTGTCCTGTCCACTGCTGTGTCTTTAGCATCTAGCACAAGGCCTGGCCTCCTCCTGGCCCCAGAACTACTGGAGTAAGCAAATGGATGAAAGAATCTGCTTAGGCATAATTTCTAAAGTATTAATTTCCTTCCACCCACTTCTCATTTTCTTCCTGAGCGTCACTCACCATCCTCATGGTCCCTCCATCATCTTTACAGGAAGTGACTATAGTTAACTCCCTCCTTTTACACTCATGGTGAGGTGGTCCAAGATATTCAAGTACCCGGGTGGTCGGTGAACACAGAGCAATCAGGGCTTTTCCTCCTGATGCCCTTGACCTTCAGGTCCTGGGTAATCTCCATGTAAACGAAGGCACAGCTCCCCTCTAAGCACAGCCAAGTTCACAAATACCCAGATTGACAAATCTTTGCTCTAACTAAGAGTTCCTTCATTACAACTCCCAGCGTATCCATATTTGAGTAGAGGCTATTAACTAATTGACAGTGAAGCTGTTGGGGGGGGGGGAGGCGGTGGAGGGATACGGCAGAGAGGCTAAAATTAAATGACAAGAGGTCTTGCCAAATTGGAGTGGATTCAGAAATGATAAACCATCTCGGGGATCAATGAGAAGGAGAGAATCAAATAATGAGCATTTAAATTTATCAAAACAGTACTGATGCACGGGGAGCAGTTTCATCTTTGTTTTAAAATTTTCTACGGGCTCCGCTGCTTAAACCATTTTATCCACAAGCCTCGTGGCAACCTATCTGTCAAGGAATTACTCACTGTGCGAAACATTATATCTATTTATCTACATATCCGCTCACCTATCATCCATCTGTCTCCCCAACTATTTATCTAACCACCTCTGGGGGCGTTTGTACGAAGCATCCATCTGTCTATCTAGACCTTGGCTGCATACATCAAACCCCTCCTTCCAGCTTTGCCTGAGCTATTTCAAATCTACTAGTCCAGGCAACTCTTTTTTTTCCCCCCCGGGAAGAATAAGAAGTTGAGAAGATAGATCGATTCTGGGGTCTTCTGACCCTGAGTTTGATACTCCCCAATGCTCTGAGCTTCCAGGGTGACCCTGGGCAAGTTACTTAACCTCTCTGACCCCTAGGTTCCTCATCTGGAAAATGGGTGTCATGAGAACACCTACGGAATGAGGCATCTGGGGATCAGCGGGAGCAGCTAGTTCTTGACAAACAGGAAACATCGCGGGGGGGGGCGAATGAAGGGGGGATCATGGGAATGCCGCTAACTGCATTCGAACTCCTTTCACACTTGGTTTTTCATTTCTACGCCCCCCGATTCCTGGGTAACCACCATCTGGAGACGGGGAAGCATTCACCACTGCAAGTCAGGGCTGCCTTGGTACACCCCAGGGGCAGCCTGCTGAGGGAAATCTGACACCAGGGATTTAAACCTTCCTAGGCTGCCTCATTCTATTCATCTGGCCATTAAGCAGAGCGGGTCCTGCTGATGCCAACAGATGCAGAGGTCAGCGATGTCGCAGCCCAAGAGCTCCAGAGGAGGCCTTAGCAGCCTGGCCGTCTACCTTCCCCACCTCCTCGCAGCTGCCCAAGCAAAGATCCGCCAAGGACCAGGTGATGAACCCACGCATGCGCGGAGGGAAGGGGCCTGGGGTGGCCTGATGCTCGTGTGTGGGCTGAGCCACAGACGAGTGATGTACGGACACTGCTCACGGTGAGCTAGGAAAGGCAGCCCCCCTGCGGCACCTGTGCTCCAGGACCGAGTGGCTAACGCCTTTCTTAGGAGCAAAGGAGGTTGGTGGGAGGGGTGGGGAGGAGAAGTGGGAGAGGACCCAGGCCACACACATCTGTCACCTACGTCGGCACGGTTGGGTTTGCCAAGCTCGGCCACAGCTGCTGTCCTGCTCCTGCCATATGGGTAGTATCTGGGGCACCACTTTCTGCCAGAAGCTCATCCATGCCCCTCTTGTCTGACCCGCCCGCAGGCAGCTGAATAGGGTCCCATCATGAGTCCCAGGATGGACGGCCCCCCGCACAGAGTGAGATCTGGCCACGGGCTTGTGCCAACAGTTACAGAAAAACATTAGTACTTCGGTTGGGTTCCAAAGTCTCTTTCACACAGGAAGTTAGAACTCGGCAAAGACAACAACAGCCCACAGCTCTCCGAAGACCAAGGGCCAGATGAGGCTGACGGAGCGGTGCAGAGACAAAGTGAATCATCTCCCCAGTGGCCCAGCGCCAACACAGGAGGCCCGCCTTGTGCCACGTGTGGCCATGAACCAAGGGTGGGGCCCCTTGGGCTATGGGGTATGACTCTAAGAGAGGTCCCTGTGTGGGGGTGAGCTGTCCCCCTCACAGTGTGCTGGCCAAAGCCATCGGCATGTGACTGTTCTTTCCTGGGGAAGTTTTGAAGGGCTGACTGGATGTTTTTCATAGCGAAGGATACAAGAGGGCCAAGAACAGAACTATCTGGGGTGCACCGCTCCACCCTGGGAGAGAAGATCTGGCTTCCAGAATTGTGGACACAGACCATGTGCCCACGAGCTCTCCTACGTCTACCAGGTTTTCTTCCGGGGAAGGACTGATTATGATGAGGAGAAGGGCCATCCTTTGAAAGCAAACCTCGGAAGTTCTCTGGCAATCCACAAAAGAGACTGGGGCGGGCCGGGTTTTCCAAATTGCAGCAAATGCACCCCTGGGAGTACGTGCAGATGATTTTAGGGGGCACTCAAAAGAAACTTTTCCATGTTACTAGTTTCACATTTATTTTAAAGTTGTGCCCAAAAAAAAAAAAAAAATCGAACTAGCATGTGATTTCATGCTTGTGATTTCACCAGTATCATTTCTTGGAATAGTGTTTCTCATCCTTGACACTGGTGACATATTAGGCCAGGTCACGCTCTGCTAGGGGACAGGAGGCTGGCCTGTGCACTGTGCAACCGTTAGGCCCATCCCTGCTGTCCACCCACCAGATGCCAGGAGTAAGCTCCCCATCTCACGGTGAGAGAACCAAAATTGTCTTCAGGCATCACCAAACGTACTCCAGAGATCCAAGATAGCCTTGCTTGGGAGCCACGAGCTGAGGATGAGCCCACTTAAGACAGTTAAGTAAATTGATTTAAGGAAAATCTATTTTTAGGTGACTTGGAACAAGTGTGATTTCCATAAGGCAAATGTGGCTAAGGGCGTAGGTGGGTGGCAGAGGTTGGGATAGGACCAGACCAGAGGATGGCCAGAGAGAGGGACGCATCTGGGCCTGCGTCCCCCTCAAAGCCATGCCCGCTGCTCTTTCCCGCCCGCTCTCTTGGCTGGTCATCCCTGAAGCGGACATAATGAAATGTGCATGCAGAAGAGAATGAGAAAACGGAAGACTCTCCTTTTCCCACCAGGTATGGTCTTTCTGAGCAAGGAAAGAGAAGAAGGGTGGGTTTGCTCATTCCCCTTGGGGAGACGGAGGCAGTAACACTGGTGAGAGGACAAGGACCCATGGAGGAGGCTAAAGACTGAGACAGCAGGTGGTCCTTGCTAGAGAACTCCAGAAACAGCTGCAGAGCTGCCTTTCAGCCTTGAAATGTTCACAGGCTTGCCTGTCCCAGACACTCAAACACTGTTAGCTGTGGGCTCTGGACAGGCTCCATCCTATCTCTTCTCTTTACTGTGGGACCAACCCTTAGAACCCAGGGAATAATGGATCCAAAGATGCCTCCCCTTCAAGCTCAGTCAGACAGGCAACAGTGTGTTGGGTTTAAAAGCTACCTCACCAGCCCTGAGTCCGTACTGATGACTTTACAGACACCAGTTTCTGCTGTTCTCACCACAACCCTGCAAAGCAGGCACCACCCTCGCAGTATTATTCCAGATGGGAAGAGGGTGGCTGAGAGGCTAGGTCGCCTTTCAGGGCCAGAAGATGGGTACGCAGACACCCGGGTACACGTATGCATGCGTGCCCACACAAAATCGGCTCATGTGTGTGTGGGCACACATCCCAACAGGCAGGGGGATGGCCTCATCTGCCTGTCCAGTCTCTCTGAGTCAAGGAGCCAAGAAGGTGCCCCAAATCTCCCGGAGAGCTGGTGTAGAAGTAAGTGACGAAGGCCATGGGAAGGTACTGACCTGGGTCTCCAGGGTGATCGGAGGACTTGGACGAGGGTCCTGTGGGAAGAGAGGAGAAAACACACGTAAGCGATGGGCAAAACTTAACCTACCAACCCAGCCAGCATCATTTTCCAACAAAGCGAGATCTCTTCCGTGTTTTACTATCTCCCCCATTCTCATGGGCATTCTCATGACTCATGAGCTTGGCCCATCCCCAGTCTTCCCCCAACTTCCTCCCACACCCCAATGATTAAGGAGACTCAAGGTTTTCATTAAGAGGCTAAGGGGACACCTGCATGGAGATCATGCAAAATGACCAGATGTAAGGAAACAGGAAAGAAAGCATGCTCGTCCATTATCTCCAAGTGTGTTCACATCCTCTACACGAAGGAGAGGATGGATCCGTAAGAGGATTAGAAATAAACTTGAAAGACTATAGAGTCCCGATTAGGGGCAAGGCCACCAATTTGTGTCTGGTCTTGGAAAAAATGAGGGAAGGAAAAGAGAGACAGAAAAAGAAGAGCTTAATTCCTGGTTTTCTAGCACATTCCAGTGGGCTGGGGAAGAGACTTTTCAGAATAGAGAAGGCCAGAGAAAAGTCCTATTCATCAGCTCCCCACAAAAGACAATTGACTGGAAATGCTTGGTGGTAATGTCGCGGGTCATTAAACATGAACTCTCTAGGTGGGGGGCAGGGTGAGTAGAGGAGGGAGGGATGGATAGGGAGGAGGTAGTGGTTTTCAGCAAGGCGTTTCCAAGGAATACAGGAAACCCAGCACATAAAGGCTATTTTTCTCGGCACCGTGTCCACTCTGAACTGAAACCCCTTGGATTCATGGTTCTGGGAAAGTAACTTCAAGCTGCCCCTTAGAGAGAATGGGCATGATTTCTGGGCCCTGAGGGCAAGCTCAGGTTGGAAGCTTTGCTTTACGCAAGCCGACTTTCCAACACAGGGTGCCAGGAAGCCATGCAGCGAGCAACCCCTGGCCTATGGCGTGAATGAGAAGGAAGTGTAGGAATCGCGCTGCGTTTGTCCTTCTGTGGTCTGACTTCTTTCACTCAGCATGATATCCTCAAGGTTCGTCCACGTGGTCACAGATGGCAGGACTCCCTTCTTTTTTAAGGCCGAATAACTTTCCATTGTGTGCATCTGCCACATCTTCTCGATCCAGTCATCCATCCGTGGACATGGAGGGTTGCTTCCTGACCTTGGTTCTTGTATGGCTTCAACAAACATAGGAGGGCAAATGTCAGGATTCCACTTCTATGAAGAATCCAGAATCATCAAATTCATGGAAGCAGAGAGTGGAAGGGTGACCGTCGGGGGTTGGGGGAGAGGGAATGGGGATGTGCTACCCAAGAGATGCGAAGTTTCAGTCATGCAGGATGAACCAACTCTAGAGTTCAGCTGTGCGACACTGTAGCTGTGGTTAACAACACTGCATCGTACACATAAAATTTTCTTGAGAGAGTAGATCTCATATTGTGTTCTTACTACACTAAAAAAAAAAAAAAAAGGAAGTGTAGCAAAATTGGAACATTTTAAACCCCTATACTAGGTGAACAGATAACTAACTTTCTTGATGACTCCTCTGTGGTATCTTTATAATGATGCCAAAGTCATTCTGAGCTCAAGATGAGGGGTTCCTCTCCCCTGATTCCAGTTCTGAATCTAGCTCCTAGTAGTTCTCCAATGGAACCGTTCTCTAATGGTACAGCTCCAGAACATCTAATTCTAATTTTCATACTCATGCATGGAATATTCCTCAGATCCAGGAAGATATGGAGTGGAGCCCTCCTCCCACTCTCTGGACATTGCGGCCTTGGCCCAGAAAGGAACTTGGAGAAGTCCTGAAAATATTTTAGGCTTCTCTCTTCAAACGTAGTAGCTCCTTCATAAGGGTGAAGAAATGGGAGCTCTACGGGTGAGAACCTTTGCTGTGCCATTCAAATGAGCTGGCTCGTTGTTTCCGCCATTCTTCATGGAGCCCGCTCTCGCCAGCCTCTTCATCCTCCCATGCAGGGAGGGAGTCTTAACCCTGTTCTTCCAGTTTCTCTGTGACAAGCAAGCATACTGGACAGGACCCATGTTTGTCTTTGGGAGACAAGGCCGTCCTCTCTGGTCTGCGAGGTCTTCAGCTCCTGTCAGTCTGTGCCTCTGTCTCTCTGGCTGTTCAGATTCATCTAGATTCCACCACAAGATAAGAAGCTTCCTCTCAGACTCAAACATCGGCCTCATTCTCAAAGCGGGGTCCTAGTGGAGCACTGCACTGGGGGGCTGGGTGCCCGCCCCGACTGACCAAGCTGTACTTCACAGCCTGTTTGGCTATGGCTTAGGGTTTATGCTTCACTGCTCAGAATCCTGAAGTGGGAGAGAGGGGAGACTGCCATCCTGAACCCCTAAGAACTTCATGGGAAAGACGGTCCTTGGGAAACCACAGAAAACTGTCAACTGTGTTCACAAAGCCCAGAGCCTGATCCTTAGATAAAATAAAGCATCAACCCTTTATTTGGTATTCCAAGATCAGAAGCCCTACTGGCACATGGTCAGGGGTCCAATCCTATGTATTTTGCATGTTAATAACCTAGCCAGGAAGAAGACTGAGTATTCCAAGTGACCCGGTCCTTACCACTCGGCACTCACTTGCCAACAGAGTGTTGCCCCTCTCTCTCTGTGCACATTCAGGATAGAAGACTTTCCCTACAGAGGCTCCATCCAGAAGATTCTGGGTATGACTATATATCGGTGAGGTCTCACTTTCAGCAACATCCTCCTTAATTGGAAAGGCTAACGAAGTGGAACCCGGTCAATGATGCTGTCTGCCTAATCCATCGTGTCTGTCTAAACTGGGACTCTGGTTTACAGTAGAGTAAATTCCTGTCTGTCAGGGGAAAGGCTCCTGGAGACCAAAGGGTAATTTGCAACATGCTCGGATGCTACAGAGTGCTTGTGGAATCTTAATGCAGGTACTGGGAGCTACGGAACTGCTTTAAGCAAGGAAAGCTCTTTCATATCATCTACTGCAATGACTCAGTTGGGGAAGTCAAATAGGGAACTAGGCAGACTGATGTAGTGGCTTGTATTCTTTACCACCCCCTATAGCCACACCCTCTGGTCTTAGGACTCTGCATTTCTTTGCAGAGTGTTCTTCCCCAACCCTTGACCTTGGGCTTGCCCAAGTGATCTGCTGTGTCCAAGGGAGTGGTGAGCAAAAAGGACAAAAGCCTAAGCTTGAAATACACTTGCGGGATTGAGTGGGATCTCTTGTGTTTTTGCCATCATCACAAGAACAACATGCTCAAGGTAGCCCACTGGTCCAAGGAGGAGGGGACACACATGGAACAGAACTATACCCAACGTACAACTTGAAGCGCAGCACAGCCTTGATCAGCCACCTTCAGGCACGTATAGAATGAGTTTCAGGGTGATTTGTTACACAGCCAGTACTGTGGCAGTAACGGATACACTCTCTAAAGACTGACCCTGAGAGAACCCCACATAATGTACAAGCCCACCAGCCTTGGGAACAAAAGGATACATACTCTCCCTCAGCCTGCCCCATCAACCCCAAGAACCTGGAATAACTACAGTGTGTAACTAGGATTTAGAACCTACTAAGCGCCACACTCCATGTGAGCTGGACATTATGCCAAGCAAGGAAAAAACTCAACCACTATGATCTTATACTATAAATGAGTTAGCTTACACCCTTCTTCACCAAATGTACCAGTCCTTCTGAATTTCTTTAAATGCCATTACAATAACGGTAATGGAAATGATTGGTCAGAGTCCTCTCACCCTAAGACAAAGACAGTTTCCATTCCTCCGGTTCATTCCCAACTTTATCCCATGGGCATTATTACTCAACCAAGGTTTGCAACAGTCATGAACACTCGTAATAACTAGTAACGTACTATGCTGATTAAGGGATGGCTAATAACTTTAAGTTCTTAGCATGTTCCAGGCACTGGCTTAACCTCACACATGTGTCATTCCTTTGACTCCTTGTAACAACCCTGTGAGGTAGATACTACCATTATTCTCATTATAGAAATGGGAAAACTGAGGACCAGAGAGATTGAGTAACTTATCCACGGTGCTGAAGCCTGCATTGGACCCCACGGCCCTGCACTTGACACCCCGGTGCTCCACGATTTTACAGTAGCTCTACTGGAGAGCACAAGTCTAGCCCAGACAGAGTAATCCTGCAATCTGGAGAGTGTCTACTAGAAGGAAGGACACTCATGGCAAATCAGCAGCAGCACCTTAACTACAAGAATCTTTCCTAAAAAAGGTAGCAGACATGGTTGATAGAAATTACCACAAGTGCTGGGACTGAAAACAAAACACTGCCACCTCACTGCAGCATGGTACCAAATCCATCCACACCTATTCATGGAGTTCCGACTCAGTCGCTAGCATTTTTGCCTGGTGGGCACCCGGAGGGAGCCAGAAAGGAGTTTATAGAGCGACTCCGTGTACATTCCTATTCCCATAGCTAACTGTTTAAATAATAGGCGGGAGTCTCAGTACAGATCCTGGAGAAATGAAGCTTGCTGGCACCTCATGAGTCTTGCTCTTGAGAACAGGAAGCCAGACTCAAATAATTTTGAGCCCATCGAGGCCAAAAGCCTCATTTTAACAGGCAATGAAGCTTTCGTAAAGAGAAGAGAGAGAGGAGGAGGAATTCCATTATCGTTCCAAGCATGCATCAGACATTTTTTACTCCCCTGGTTGGTGCTGAGCCCTGAACCTGGCCTCAGCCACTGAAAGGGGTGTTCTCTTCCTGCGCTTTTAAGATCTTGTACGATAGCGTTTGCTGTTGGGTGGTAAGCAATGGCTTTGAAGGGGAGGGGACAATCCTGTGACTCAAGTCTTCAGAGCAAGACTTCCCCATTGGGCCCATCAAGTCAGCAGACGGACAATAGGCCCGACAGTCCAACCATCATACAGATGCACGCAGGAGGACCCTTCAGAAGGCTGGTGTGGCCCCCACTCCTGGAAAGCCCTCTAATGGGCTCTACAGAAGTAGAAGTTTCCCCCATCAGGAGACTGT